TTGCTTTCTTCAACTTTAATCTAATGATGTGATTTAAATGTTTGATGGATGTCGTACTTTTTATTCTTATATTATGAATTAAATTTTTAATGACAAGAGAGAAAAAAGATTTACATTGGTTAACAGAAATAATCTTTATAGCTCCTTGTATATTTATAATATATAATTATCTGCAGACTTCATTATTTCAATGGCCATCGATATATGAGAAAGAAAGAGATTTGTTGAGGATTTTATGACCAGCCGAATTTGTTTCAATAAAACAAAGATGATATAAATCTTCACTATTATTATTTTTAGAGTGTCTCTCTTAACTAACGGAAAGTATTGTATAATTTTATTATGATTGACCTTGATTATACTGAAAGATCTTTTTTTTTATGGGTTTATATATTATAAAGATGCATGAGAAAGACAGAACAAACATATAATCGTCTGAAATTGTTGGCTTTGTCGATCAGTTTAAATAATATAAGTCTCAATTGTTTTATATCGATTGATGGGAATAGTTATCCCATGGATATTTTTAGTACTGGTAATATGGGCAGCACCGAGCACGAGTCTTATATGTTACCAATGTTGGTGTCCATCTTTTAATACAGCTGCTTGCAATTGCTCCAACACATCTGATGTTGAAGGTTCACATTGTATCATCGTTGAAGAATTCCATTCATCAAATCCATATATAGAATTATCTTCTACTTTTCTTGATTCATCATATATTCGACTAAAAGACTCTTATTATATTATATTGGATGAATCAATTTTTTATCATGAGATAACAAAGGATTTGAAAATGAAAACAAAACGTATTGTTTATGGATGCGATTGGAATTATTGTAATGAATATTCTTTAATTTCACTTTTACCTGATTCATTCAAATTAACTATGGATAAAAAGTGGTTTGAAGAGAATATTTATGGCAATGGATCAGTTAATGCTTGTCATACTTGTTCAAAGGAGATATGTGGAAATCAAATACAACCTATTAACTATGATCAATCTACATTTACACCATGTAATAATCCGACTACGGTAAGTATTGCGATAAAAACTATTAAATTAAAATAAAAAACAAAAGTATATTTTCTAGTGTTCACTCTATAATGTATGGCATGATGTTGAAACAGATGAATCATGTTATCGATCAGAATGTACAAAATCCGTATTTAAAGATGGTTCGAATGAAGACAATCAAAAATATAAAGTTCAAGTCGAAGCCATTGTTTATTTATCACAAATTCGTTCAAATTTGGAAATTTGGAAATTAAATATCAATTGTGCCGTTTACAATTGTACTCGTTCAAGTATTTTTCAAGACGTAAAAGAACAAATTAGAAATGATATCAATAATTTAATGACTTTTCCAACTGTTCGTCGTTCTCCAATAGATACATCGCTAACAATAAAATCAGCTATGATAACTATACCAACAACAACACCTACACTATCATGTTATGAATGTGCATGCTATAATGATCCTGCTTGTTCATGCAATACAGTTCGACCAGATGATGCTTCTTCAACTTATTGTATAATTATCCGTAGAAATAATGAAAGTGGTGATTTTACAGTTAATCTAGAACATATTGATCGAAATTCATCTCGAGTTTATATTCGTAAATTTCCTTATTTACTTGCACAAGAGTCGATACTTTATAACGAAACTACTAAAGAATGGACTACTCGAACTAATACTTTAGTTTATGGATGTAATTGGAATTTATGTAATCATCCTAGCCTTGTTACATTAATTCCCGATAGTTTCAAAATGACTTTAAGTGATGAATGGTTGAACGCAAATGTTTTAGATAGTGGAGCATCTGATCGTGATTGTCATGAATGTCCACAAGCTCCTCAATGTGGTACAACTGAATTTATTGATGCTAGTCGATGTCCAATTAAACCATGCAATAGTACTTGTGTTGTTTTGGATAAATTTGATAATCCGACAACTAATGACTTTTGTTATCAGTCATATTGCAGTTCACCTGAAGCAGACATTGAAGAAAATCAACATCGTGTTGAATTGGAAGGTATTATCTATGGTGATCAACCAAATTCTGTTGAATTATGGGAACTTGATCTTTATTGTCGAGCTGATGATTGCTCACGGCCGGAAATTTTTCAAGAAGTTCGACAAAATTTAACAGTAGAAACAAATAACCTTACACTTCTTTTGGATAATTCATCTCGACCAATAGTTGAACCAGAAATTATTTGTTATGATTGCTTTTGTTATGATGATCCTATTTGTGCATGTGACAAATATACAGTGTCTAGTGCCTCATCAAGTTATTGTACAATTGTACGAGATAATTTTGATGAAGACTTTATTATTGCTTTAGAACATATAGATCGAAACTCAACTTTTGTTTATATACGTGAATTTCCATATTTACTTGTCGAAGAATCAATTATTTATGATGAAAAAACAGGATGGTGGAATACAAGAAATAATGTTGTTATTTTTGGATGTAACTGGAATTATTGTAATGACCCTCGTCTTATACCACATCTTCCCAACAGTTTTCAAATGCGTCTTCCAGAAACATGGCTTGATTCTAATATTTTAGGTACTGGTCAACCTGTACGTGAATGTCATGAATGTCCAAATGCTCCACAATGTGGTACAACTGAGTTTCTCAATACTACTGAATGTCCAATTCAACCATGTAACACTACTTGTTTGGTCTCGGATATATTTGATGATCCGGCAAATGGCTTACTATGTTATCAATCATTTTGTGCTCCACCTGATTCAGAATTTTTCACAATAGATCCACATCGAGTAGAGCTCGATGGTGTTATATATGGCAGTCGTCCTAGATATGTTGAATTATGGGAAATTCACATTTTTTGTCGTGCTGATGATTGTTCTCGGCCAGAACTATTTAAAGAAGTGAGTTTTTTAAAAAAAAAAATTAAACTTTCGAAATGAACCATGGCTTTAAAAATATTTTAGATTAGACAAAATCTCTGTGTAGATTTGGGCGATTACACTCTCTTTTTGGGTAATACATCAACAGTGGGACAAGGTAATGAGACCGCTATATGTCCAGCAACTACAACAAATAGAACTACAACATTGAGAACTACAACACCCGTCATTACAGTTTCGGGAACTACAACATCCAGCATTACAGTTTCGGGAACTACAACATCTAGAATGCCAACGTCATCTATTACTAATCCAATAACATCAACAGAACGTACAACGATAATACCTGGAACTACAACTTCATTTGGGCAAACCACAACTGGACCATCTGAAATAACGACCATAGCAGAATCAGGCCTATCGATCAATGTAGCACACAATATCTTCATTCTATTTTTCTTGCTGATTTCTCTAATCAATTTATACTGAAGATGACATATAAAATGAATAACATTTATGAAGAAATATTGATGAAATACATTTTTTTTTTCTTTCTTAACAGAATAAAAATAAATTAATCATATTGAATCAATATCTCTATTGGAATATTAAAAAAACATAAATAAAATAAAAAATAAGTTTGTTCATAATTCGAATCAAAGAAGGAAACAGCTAAAGTAAGACTTTTTTTAATTAAAAAATCACTAAGACAAACGCTTTGATCGTTTTTTTATATTATTCTATCAGTTTTGCTAATATAAAAGAATGAAGAAAATGAATTTAATCAACAATTTCCAAGAAATGAAAATAATTAGAAGAATTTTGAAAACTTAGATTATTGTAATTATTATAGTAGATCTCATCCTTTGAATGCACAAATCGTCTTTTGATAATGAGATTCTATCCATACAAACTTAAATTATAAGCAAAGTACTTCAACAAAGGACGAAAAATTTAAAAAAAAAAAAAATTTTTTTTTTGCATCGATGATTTTGTTTTTATTTAAAATTAATAAAACATAGAAAAAAAATCAGTTATTTTCCCTTGTTTAATCTGTATATATTGTAGATATGCTCGATTTTTAATATGATTAATTATTCTTACTTTTGATTTTCATTTTTTAACTAATATTCAATCAGTTTTATGTATACATATAGTTTTGTTTGATGATAATTTTTATTCATTTATTAATTAATTTAGCTATCGGATTTTTTTTACAAATCACATGAAATTCTTGTTTATTTATTTATCCATCGAAATGAATTAGTTAATAAATGAGAAATATCATTTGGTTTATGAAATATTTCGAATGTTATGTTATTAATGATTGGACACTAATTTAGATAGGAAATTTTTATTTATATGTCTGCAAGAAATAGTATATCATTGATGACAATTGGATAATCTTGATAGTCATCAAGTTTTATTGTACTTTATGAGAAATATCTTGGGTTTTTTTTTGGTCGCCAAAGGATACATTCATCAAATGTATGCGATACTTTTTTGTTTAGATGACTATTGCACACTTTTTTCTTTGTTCATTTTACTTTTCATATATGTATTTGTCTTTATATTCCTTAAATGTTTGAATTATTCAATTATTTGACATCTATATATATTTTTAATATAGTATAACTAATAAAAAATTTTATTGTTTATTGATCTTGGATTTTTTTTATTGTTTTATAAGTATATTTTTTAATGTTGTTACTTTTTATAGAGATTCAAGATTGATTGTAAATTTGATCAGTTATTGATATATGAAAAGAAAAACAAAACGAAGATGTTTATTACACAATAATAGCCGATTGAAAAAGAGTGACATTATTTATCGTATGGTTTAGAACAACTAGTTGATGCAAAATACAATATAAAGAAAAAGAAAATTTTCTTATTATCGATAATTTACTGTCGATTAACACATTATGAATAAGTATTGAAAAACAAACAAATTGAAACCATATGAAAAGTTTCGTTAAGACTTTCTTTTGTTTTTTTTTTCAATGAATAATTTCTCTAAAAGATCAAATACACGATATCATTATGTTATTTTCTACAACATATGGATTTATTTCTGTTTTGATGACCTCAAAGCTTCATTCATTTATTTTTTGCCGTATACATATAAAATATACTTTATCTTTTTGCTTTAGTAAAACAATGGAAATTAATACATATTCTTTTTTTTTTTTAATAATAAAATTTAATTATAGAAAAAAGGGGATAAATACTTTTGCTAAACTTGATGATTGTTTTATAGCCTTATACTAATATATATTCTCAAAGAGTAGTAGTAGTAGCAGCAAAGAAGTTGCTTAAACACAAAAATATAAAATGGTATACATAAATAAAACATACACAAATACACGCACAGAGAATGAAGAAAAAAAAAGAAGTGTTGATGATGATGATCGCTGACAATATTCTTCTTGCTGTGCATTGTATTTAATAGAACGTGTTTGTGCATATGAAAGAAAAGAAAAGGGATGATGATTGAGGAATAAACATGTATAGAAAGTAAAAAAAAGAAGAAGAAAGAAAGGCAGGAAAAACATGACGAGTGTCAAACATTGATTTTTCTATTGTTTGTAAAATTTTGAAATACAATTCTTCTATATTATCATGTTGATTCATTTGGAAACGGACCTTGAAGAAGAGCACGAACAAAAACTTCATAATTAAACATGCCTTCGGCATCATCTTTTGTATTAGTTGAACGAAGAATTTCTTCAACAATTCGTGGTTCAAGTTTTTCAGCCATAGCAACAAGTACTTGTGTAAGTTCAGCTAATGACATTAAACCATTACTTTCTTTATCGAATAATTTTAAACCTTCCATAAAATCTTCATATGTACCAAAATTTTTAGCTGGCATTTTATAAAATTCTGAATAAATTGGTAAAAATTCTTCGACTTTTAGTGTTTTTTCACCAGTTTTTTTTGTTTGACCACGTTTTTCACATTCAGCTTGTGTTGGATATAAACCAAGAGAACGAAGCATATCTCCAATATAATATGAATCGACTTTTCCCTTTATTATAAAAATTATTTATATTGAATTGATTAAAATAAAAATAAGAAGAATAAGAAATTCTTACTTCATATTTTTTATCGAATACTTCAAAGACTTGTTTAGCTTCATCAACTTTATCACTGGGTAAATCGGCCATTGCTATTGCTGTTGCTTGGCTTGTTGTTCTTAGTGCGTCCGGAAGATGTTAAGATGTAAAGAGAACGACGACAGTAGTGATAAGTAGTAATAGCAACAAAAGAAGAGAAAAAAAATAGATGAAGAAACGCAAAAGATATCAATCCGTTTTTCTATTGCTATCCGAAAAGGCAGAGAATGGAAATAAGAAAAAAAAAAGAAGAGGTTATTTCTGTCTATACGTTATCCAATCGTCGCTTGTCTCTTCTTGAGAACTATTTTTTTTTCCTTTTGCGGTAATAGTACTAGCGGTTGATGGTAATCATCTTTAACAACTCGTTGGATATAATCAATAAAGCAAAAGAAAGAAAAAAGAATGGGATGAATTGGATTATTGGATAGTATTAGAAAAAAATTTTTTTTTTAGGCTTTTTTTTCTCTACAATTAAATAGATATATTTGGTTTAGAGTTTTTTCTTTTATTAAGAAACACATAAAATTTCTTTTGTATTTTGTATTTCTTTTTTTTATTCGCCTTGTCATATTTTCCTCGTTGGTTCTGTTGCTGTTGTTGTTGTTGTTGTGTTGTGTTTGTCAACTTAAGTACAAAAACAAAAAAGCCTTGGTAGTATATTGTTGCTATTGCTGTTGTTTCTTGCTCTTTTAGTGCCGACGACTATATGCTGTGCGCTCGACAACCTTGGACTATACCGTACGCGTGATGATATCGTCTCTCTTGCAGAACGGAATACATATGTATGTACACAATAGCAATATTGTCCAGCCTGAGTTGTTGTTATTGTGGATAAAGATCGCAAAAGATAAAGAAAGAATATATCTCAATAAGGAGAAACTGAACTCTATGGATCTATCATGTTCGGAAAATTGACTATTTTCTCTTTGTATGTCTATATGTTCGGGTCAGTGAAGCAAAAGAATACATGTTCAATAATGTATCGGAAAAGAATAAAGGAAATTTTGAATATTTCTCTATATTGATCATCAGATGTAAACATATATACCCTTGAGCCTTAACTTGTGATAATTAATATAGAAGAAATTTTGTAGATGGATATTACATTATGAATAAAAAAGAATAGTCGTCTTGATATTTATTTAATGAAAAGATAGAATATAAAAATTATCTCTCGAAGCCTTGAAAAAAAACCTATGCAATAAAAAATATTTAAAAATTCAAGATGAAACGTTGACCATAAATCTTCAACACAAATTCTATATTTTGCTATCAACAAAATTTTTACTATAATTGTAAAAGAATCAGTTCTATCTATGTCAAACAATGAATGAGAAACAAATAATACGTCAAACAGAGTAAAATTATTTATTTATATCAAATAGTAATCTTTAGAATGATTTAATTGCTCAAGAAATAAATGATGATGAAGAAAAATTACATCTGTATAATATATTAGAATATTAATTTTAAAAAAAATATTATCATTGATTCGTATATTTTATAATAAAATATATAAGACAAATTCTTTTTCTCCTAGGATAATACGAGTATAGAAATACTCAAGAGAGTATATAAACAAATACGAAAATAACGTAAGGAAAAGAAAAATTAAGTAGGTTTCAGATAAAAACAAGCCGCATATATATATATATATATGTCAGCAAAAATAGCACAGCAGAAAAATTTTGCTTAACTATTTTGTATTGCAATATAGTAAAGCTTTTTTGCAATCGGTCTACTGAATATTAAAAATTTGGATTTTTGAATATAAGTTTAATTTATTCATAAAAAACTTATCACATATAACTTCGATTGCATTTATTATCAATGCTTAATGGAATAATTTGAATAAATAAATAATACTGTAATCTTAAAAGTACATATAACTTTGATTTTAACTTATTCTTATCTTTGCAAACTATAAAACATTTATAATCATGAAGTAATCAAAGTAGAAAATTTCAGAAAAATCTGAAAATTTAAATATTATCTAAAATAGTTATGTTTCTTGTAAAGGAATATCAATGTAACAATATTCGATAAGTTCTATCTCAGTTCTGACAATATAGAATCACAAAAAATGAATGCATGTTGATTGATTGATTGATTGATGAGACGTATTACTATCAATCAAATTATGTATCTATTGTAGAAGAAATCATTTGATTCAGCATATACTTCGTTCGTTTCCTACTTATTATAATTATATTGAAATTTTGCAGAATATTTACTATTGAATGTTTATCTTTTATATAATTTTAAAATTATATTGAGTTCTTACTGTTGTATCTATATTTTCGAAAGGCATAGTAGGCATTATTCAACATATTATAACCTTTATAACTTGATGAATTTTTCGATTTAAAAGAATCATGCATCATTTCTCAACAGCAATAATTAATGATAGAATGAAAATAAAAAACATACTATAATTTAATATATTATAATGAAACTCATAGAAAACTCTCTATATAGCAGATTTTTTGGCATAAAGAAACTTCTACCTAACATCTGTAGTTCTTCTTGATAGACTTATTGGTTTACAAGATGTCATTATGTAAATTGTTTCTAGAAATTGAAATATATCACTTGTATGAAATGCTTTAATGAATGGTGTCGGTTCATACACAATGCATTGATAGTTATCAAAACTTTAAAAAGTTCTATGTGTCAACAATATAGTGAGCTGGATTTAGAAAAGACGCATGATCATTCTTATAAGAAACGAAATAGAACAAATCATTTTGATATATTTCTAAATAAAGTTTATAAAATAAAATAAAATTTTCAAACTAAAGCCATCAGGACTAAACTAAACAAAATATAGATAGTGGCATATATTTCATCAAAGTCAAAGGAGGAAAGTCGTTCAACAATGCAACATACTCCCTTTCAAAATTGAGTTTCTTAGTTCCTCAATAGTCAATTCGGATGTGGGTATGAGGTTAAATATGATGATAAACGAAGTCATATACGATGATGTAGGGCCGTTCACGATAGTCGTATACGGTACGATGACATGCGGTTGTAATTTTAGGGTCAAGCATACGTATACGATAGTTCACGGCGTCGTGCACGACTGTTTACGACAATCACAGTGTTTGTTCTGGACAGCCACCATTATTGATGTACTAATAGTATTGATTAAATATATATTCGTTTACGACCAGTAGTTATAAATAATACTCTGGGAATTCCATCTAAGAATAAATGACCAAGAGAATCATCATGTTTCGAACTAGTTCAACATCACGCCTGGCAGTGTTGGTTTTTCTCATAAGTGTTCCAGTACGATCTGTAATTTTTTGTTTTTACTTGGTAATAAATTAAAATATAAATCATATTAATCGAAAAAGCAGGATATATGTAATAAGCAAAATCAGTATAAGCCATGTGAATCACAAACTTTACTGGTACTCAACAAAGTTTACTGGGACAATAAGAAATATCATTTGTTATTACTGCTGGTAGTGGAATGATTATAACAGTAAATCATTGAATGATGATAAGAATATAATATGTTTTGAATGTAATTAAACATTTATATTTTTGTTGAAAAAACGGAAATAAAAAGATATAATACTGCTTGAATAAGAAATAAATAAGTAACTGCAGAAATAGTGAAATAGGCAAAATAGGCACGTCATTGACAATAGATATCACTTGTCACCGAAGGAAAAAAGAAAAGAAAAATATAGTTATATATTTGTACAATACAATAAAGAATCGATGCAATACATGTATTACACATAGGCATCTCACAGAGTTGATATCGTTGAATTCATCCTATATGAATGAGCATACCTTTTGAAAATGTGTCTTTTATACGAATAGACCGTGTTTAGTGAGACATGAGTGAAGAAGACTTAGGAAACAATCAACAAAGGCTTCTAGTATCAGGAATAAAAATATTTAATTGATAATAGATAGATAAAATTCGATACTAAAGAATATTTTCACTTGAAAGTTAATAATGTCATTCATATTGTAACAATAAAGCATCATATCTGAATTGGTTCATTCAAAGATGTCAAGACATAATAAATGATAATGTGCTCTCAATATAATGCTCAAATAGAAATAGTTGAAAAGAATAATAATAAGATGCATTTAGATAATGAATAGAATTATTGAGACATTTTAAATATTACAATTTGTTGTCAAAAGAATTTATACAATCTAAAAATATAACATTAATAAGCACTTTCTAAAAAAAACTCCTGGTGAATTGGATTACCCATAATGTGAAAATCAAGTAACTGTCTTTTTCGCTGCTTTATATACCATCTGATAGAACACGAAAAGTTGGTCAGAGATATATATTATTTTTTAAAACGATTGGTCCACGTTTTAGGGAAAACAAAACAAAAGATTAAAAAGTTACGAAAAACGGTTCAAAACAGTCAAAAAAACGAGTTTTCGTCTAAAGTTTTCAATTTTCTTGTTACTTAGATTTCAAGAATTTTTTTGAAAGAACTATTATCTCACTTAGTATGAAAAGTCTGAGTTAAAAAATGCTATTTTGGTCAGTAAGAAATGGAAGTATTGTCCGACATAAGTCTGTCGAGTAACACCACTCAAACACATTTTTGTAGTATCCATAGACAATTTTGTAAATCTTTTTAGTTTTTTGTGTTACGAGAGAGATAAGACCAAGTGTCGTGCGTCATTAGAATCATTCAATATTGACTTTCAAACGTACCCTATTAGTTCTTCTTGATTTTGTTTTATTGTATAGAAAATTGTATTCTTTCGACTTTTTCTTACTGATAGGATAAAATCGTGGATAAATATGCACATGTTTATTTAATTTTATCATTATTTTTTCGTGAGATAAAAAAACACAATGAATCATGTAACTTTTAGCAAAGAAAAAATTTATATGATATTATGTCTGTAAACTCTTCAGACATAATTTTTTGAAAACTTTTTCTGTGCTTCTTCGAAAGGATGATTTTGATGGGAAACATTTTTGATTAAAAGAAATATGATTCGTTGTGTTTTTTATGATAATTTTAAAAATTTTATCTGATTTTTTATATCAGGTAAAAATAATGGTAAAATTAAGTAAATATGCGCATGTTTTTCGCGATTTTATCGTGTAAGAAAAAGTCGGAAGAATATTATTTTCTATACAATAAAACAAGGTCGAGAAGAACCAATAGCGTACGTTTGAAGGTCAATATTGAGCGATTCTAATGAAATATGATACTTGGTTCTATCTCTCTCGTAACACAAAAAAACTGAAAAGATTTATAAAATTGTCTATGGATACCACAAAAACCTGTTCAAGTGGTCTTATTCGACAGACACATGTCAGACTGCACTTCTGTTTCAAATTTATTTAAATAACATTTTTTAACTCAGATTTTCATATACTGAATGAGACAATAGTCCTTTCGAAAAAAATTCTTGAAATCCACGTAACAAGAAAATTGAAAATTTTAGACGAAAACTCGTTTTTTTGGTTGTTTTGAACCGTTTTTTGTAATTTCTTAATCTTTTGTTTTGTTTTCCCTAAAACGTGGATCAATCGATTTAAAAAATAATATATATTTCTAACCAACTTTTCCTGTTCTATCGAATTGTATATAAAAGAATGAGAAAAAAAATTACTTGATTTTTGCATTATTTGCATCTGACTTCATTGTACTTACTTTCGACGAATAATAATTCTTCAATTATTCGTCTTTTTTTTGGTACCACTTTTTTTTATTGATTTTGTTTCCATGAATATAGAAAAGATTCAAGAATAGAACTTCTGCAACTGTCATTTCTTTCAATCTTCATGATGAGTATAATTGATGAAAAAGAAAAATGTATAATCAATTACTCATCTACAAACAATCATTTTGAATTCTTCAATATTTTGTTCCTATAGTTACGTGTTATCTGTGAATGTGAGACTGTGTGTGTAGAAATCGACTATAGTCACACACATCCACAAACTCATATTCTCAGAGCAAAGACTTTTTGATTTTCAAATGCTGGTAATGTTGTTCTTCCATGACTTCTCTGCATAAAGTTTCACCGATTTTCATTATTAAATAAAACTTTTCATTGAAGATACAATCAAAATATAAGAAGATACACATGGTTTAACAATAACAACAAAAAAAAGTCTAAGGTGTTCGCAAATCAGTAATTAATCATCGAACAACTTGTTTGAGATCATATTAAACGATAGATTCACATTATCTAGAATGATGTATTTCGGGTTTTTTGTAAAGGTTGTACGATGACTTGTTGAATTTGTATGTGATGTTCTTGATATCTTCTTGTTGTATGTCTATTATCAAGAGGTGTAATACGTCTCTTTCTAATTAATAATTTTCTAATAACTTGTCGAAGTTCATGATCTAAAAGGATTGTACATACTTTTTCAACAGCGACAGCTAACGATAAAGTTACAAGACCAATTAAATACAGTATTCTGTTAGAACTGAACAGAAATAATACAAGTGGAATTCCACTAATGAGATAAATACTCATGAGTATTACTATATTACGAAGAAGTTCGAGATCACGTTTTTCTCCATGTATTAGTCTCAACAAAGATCTAGCTTCTTTCTTTGCTTGTTTAACTCGATAATAAATGAAAATATAAATCATACAAACAGATAATGTTGGTATTGTATAATAGGTAATATATGCATAAGTTGTATGTATAATATTTGTTATAGGTACCCAACAAAGTTGATTAGTACGATAATAAATATCTTTTGTTATTATTGCTGGTAGTGGAATGATTATAACAGTAAACCATTGAATGATAATAAGAAAATAATGTGTTTTAAATGTAATTAAACATTTATATTTTATTGAAAAAACAGAAATAAAAAGACGTGATATTGCTTGAATAAGAAATGAATAAGTAACTGTAGAAATAGTGAAATAAGCAAAGTAGGCACGCCATTGACAATAGATATCACTTGTCACCGAAGGAAAAAACAAAAGAAAAATATAATTATATATTTGTACAATACAATAAAGAATCGATGCAATACATGTATTACACATGAGTAAATGTCTAACGGTATGAAGGCGAGGTTTTATTCTTTGTATTAATATTAATATTGTAATAGATATGGCTCCAGCACTAAGAGCACATGCTGCAGATAATGAACAAACTATGGAATAATCATGGATATAATCTGATGTTACTTCTGTTGAATTCATTGTTAGATAAAAGTTTTTGATGCACAGAAATCTTTGTTGTTACCTTTATGTATGCTATGGAAGAAGATGTCAACCAATTGTTGTATTGAACACCGAAGAAAAAGGTGAATTAAATAAAAGACAATAATTTAACAACTAATGTTATCTATCATTTTTAATTAATAACTGAATGAGCGTCTTCCAAGAAGTGAAACGAAGAAAATTAAAGAGCATTTAAATAATACATTTGAAGGTATCTAAGTGTAAAAAAAAATCGCAATTGTCCGTCGATGGAAAAACATATTCATTTGCATAATATCTTCAGTTGAAAAATGTCCAATCGGGTTCGATCAAATTCCTAAATTATCAGATACTATCGGACTGTTGACATTATCGAATCCGATGACATCTACTCATAAGAGCATTTCGAATGCGGTGATACATAATCCGTCAAATTTTGTCTCTTTCAGTGATCAGAAAAAATGTAAAAAGATGCGAAAACATTTTCTCCGATAAAACTTCTTGCGTCACAATATATTAGCAGAAAATAAAAGATTTTCGAGGAAATTCAGACTTTATTGAAGTAGATTAAAATTCAACAACAATGATGTTATATTTATCAATACCGTTTCACACTGATAAGGCTATACAAATATCACTGAACTTAGAGTAATCATTTACACTTATTTTCAGTCTATTAAACTAACTATAAAAGTTGCTTTTTTAAATTTCATTTACTTTAAATTCTTATCTTTTACTTTCAAATTATCTTGTATCTTAGTTGTCCATTTGTTTTCTCGAATTAATTAAAAAATTGATCACTCTTTGAACTAGTTTCGACAGAAGTCATGACCTTTTATGATTATTTTCATCTCGGATTCATGTATTTTGTATTCTCAATGCGTGTTTACTGAGCAATGTTGTGACTCATTGTTATAAATGGTTAGAATTTCACGATGTATTGGTAAATTATCAAAATATAATTGAATTTGTTTTTATTGAAATTCGTTTTCAATGAAGAAACAAATACTAAGTAATAAAATATAATAAGTATGGATTTTTTTAAAAACTAAATCCATTTGAAATGCAACATCTCATGTTAAATTAATAGGATATAACTAAAATATACTTTATTTTTATTTAGAACTTTCTCAACAGCCATATATATATATATCTACGTAAATGGGAAACATATTGAAAAATGGAAGAAAAAAAAATGTCAAGTTTTTTACGGCAGTATTTGACAACAACGATAAATGTTGCCATATTCGGTCGTTTAATGGTGTCATGTACGACTGTTGAAATTGATCGTAATATTTGCTCTAGTTGATATTCTTTTGTAAAACTAGCATGATCCTACCTTATCTTTGGTTTCTCTAATATTTTCGACTTGTCGGATTCACTGTAAGAAATCGTCGGATTTCATATCCAAAAACTTCATATTGAAGCCTTGTACTAATGAATCCGACAATGCCCGACAAGATCCTATCGAATATTGTTGGAAATCATCGAATTATCTAAAATATGCTATAGGATCTGACTAGATGTGATTCTGAGATTCTTTGTTATGAAAATATTTATTACTTTAATTTAAAAAGAAATATCTATTATTATTATATTATAAAGTATTTCATCTCTATTCATAATTATTTCTATAGAAGCAATGCAGGAAAACTAGAAACATCTGTCTTATCGACATTGTCTAATGGTGAATTGAGTGAATAAAGTTTTTGAGAAATCGAACTGATTCATTTATAATCTAAACTAAAATATATCTAGTAAATATAATAGACAACATTTATCCATTATAAATAGCATCCTTAATGTTCATGGATAGAAGAAAATAAAAAAAAATTCATTTCAAGAAGATACAGCTTTAAGCGATACTTTTAAATAAGAATTACCAATGAGTAATTGAAAAGAATGGTTGAATAGACACTAAACATTTTAGAAGCAATGAAAAGCCATCTAATGAACATGAAAACTAACAGAATAACAAAAGAAATAATAATTACTTTTACTAGTCGTTCACTTTTTGTTTGAGTTTCTTCGATATTTTACTTCGTTTGTTTCTAGGAAATTGGACTAGTTAAAATAATACGTGTATGATTATAATCATATGATTCGAGTGATAAAGATCATTTATGAATTAGAAACTTTATGTAGATGGAATAAACTTTTACTTTAAAAATAAGATTTTTTTCATAGTCTTCGATTTTCACAAACTTCTCGCTGTTACATGAATGTAAAAAGTTACTAGTCTTTTTTTCTTCATCTGTGACTAATAAAATACAATTTTTTATCAATACGTTGACTTATCATATAACGTTAAACTTATCCAACAGTCTTTGGTTGCATAAATCAAGATACTATACCGAATAAACTATTAAAGTTATTCATCTTCTTCTCCTTAATATTAATTCAAAAATTGGTTCTACAAAATGAGTAGAATGACAAGTAGCTGTTAAACATATTCTTCATTTAAATTCTGTTGTTGTTAAAAATATTTAATAACAAATGCATCATTCATAAATTCATATCATCCTCATACAATGAAGTTATATTTTCAAGGTAGATTATTGTAGACTAGAAGAATAGAATATGTCTATCTATTCGAACTTGGTGTTGAGGAAATTGTCGAATAACTTTTACTTCTCACTGGGGAAAATGATATATTCACAAAATAGTTTTCCTAATAGATTTAACTTCGTCTGTCTCTTTAACTTTATTTATTGCTTCTAGGTATTTTAATTTTTTCTATGCATATATCGTTTCTTTCTCATTAATTATGAAGTAAAAAATAATCTGTACTATAATATAGAACATTAAACTCGATTAAAGACTGACTTGTTCTGTTGAACATTAAAAGAAACAATAATTATATTGAAGTGAGAGACAAAAGTTTTGATGTTCTTTCAAACAAATATTAATTAAAACTTTGGAAAATATCATGTCTTATGATCAATGCAAAAGCGACAATTTTATGGACTGTTATTTAAAAAGACGAATGAATTATGAGTAAGATGATAACATTTATCTCATAAGTTAATCATTAATCTACGTCTTAACATTTATTTTTTCATTCGTATAAACTTTTAGAAAAAAAGAAAATGTAACTCCACTTGACTTTGGCAGATTTAGTTAATTTTTGTTTACTTAGTAGCCTCTTAAACTCTTTTATACTTTAATGCTTATGTAGGAAAAGAGATTGATTATAGAAACTAGAAAATGTGTCAAGACATAATTTTTATAGAAACTAAAAATTTAAATATTAATAGCAAAAAAAAGATTTACTGTTTTGATTACACTGTTATTTTATGTATTGATAATACGGAGATATATATCGAGATAAATGTATTGATGAAAATGATGAGCATTTTTCTCTACAAATTTTTTATAACGAGATACTCGTCTGGATTATATCTAACTGTGTATAAAATTGAACAAATCGATCCTACCGAAAACTATCCAAATTTCAGTCGAAAGTTTAAAAGAATGCAATTTCGATCGAGATTTAGATATTTTTGGCTGCAATTGATCTGTTCTATTTTTATACAGTGTTAGATTGGAAGCAAGCAGAATAGCTCGTATTAAAAGTCTCATAGGTTTTTCGTAGAGGAAAAATCATCATTTTCAAGAATACCTCTGTCTCGATAAATGTCTCATAAAATGGGTAATGATTATCATATTGAACGGAAACAGTCTATGAATTTGTCGACTATTATAATATGTGGTAACTCATTTTCCAGTTTAATCTCAATTTTCTATGTTTCCTCGTGAATTTTAGTTTACTATGGAATATATGAAATAAATAACGAATAACATAGTTTCATTATGATTACGAAAATTGTTTCGATAGAACAAAGAATTCAGGGCTACACAATAGCATCTTACTCTACGAATATTAATCAAGTTTTTAGACAATATAATGAAAAATGCTTTTTTAAAGAAAGCTCAAATGATAATAATAATCTTCTACTTTTAAAACAATAATGAACAATAATTAAATCTTCTAATAGTATTGTAATCTTACCTTGCTAATTATTAAAGATTTAATGTAATTACTTATTTATAATTGAGTGATATTGAATGATTTGAATTAAAACACAAAGAAACAATTACAAAGATCGTAGAATCAGTTCTCAAGAATAACATGCTTTTTGCTCGAAAACACTTCAATATATATATAATGATTGTTTTTAAATTGAAATATCGTACCCGTGTTCAATTACTTCGTGTAAATGAGCAAAGAAAGATGAATGAAAATAATCAAGTGTATTCTTTTTACTTTTTTTATGCGAACTTCACACGTTGAGAAAAGATAAGTTCGTCAAATATTAGAAAAACTTTTTTTAAACTCACTTATTTAATTTATTTTCTTCCTCCATTTGAAAAAACTGAATAGAAAAATGATATAATACGTATATTATATTTTCGTTATATACTCGGACAAGCCATATATACAATCCAAAAATATGTCCAAAGTTCATATCTTCGAACAGACAATAAGTGCACTTAACAGCTGGAGATATCGATTTTATTAAGAATTTCATAATCATCGTTTTGTACTTTCAAGTTATCAAGTCAAAATTTTTATTAAGAGGATTCATTGAGTTTGATATTTATGATTAAATGTGAAGAAAGACAATGATATATGATAAATAGCTAGGTGAAAATAGTTTAGAAATAAATGAGAGTTAAATATCTTTTAGATAAGAATGATTTTTAATGTTAAACAATGCTCATGAAATGGGCATATCGACTACGATTACTTCTAAAGAGAGATTTCTTATTTATGAGATAGTTACTCATCTTAATTCTAATATGCTTACTAATGAAAAATAATTTATTAGACTGGAACATGTTTTTAACTATTACTTTCTCTTGCTTCTTAACAAATATAAAACATGCTTGAGTATTACAATGAAAGAAAAAAATTAAACATATGATTATCAACTCTAGAACCAACTCATATGAAGAATTTTAGTCTTAGTAAATCGATACAATCCATGATTATAATTGACACCAATATAAAATATGTCGCTATGTAAATTTAGACTTTTTTTTTTATATTTCTGATTGAGCTGATAAACTTGACACATGTTTAAGATTTTTGACTATTATTTTAATCTGGAATATGTTCTTTTCACATTCATAATTGATCGTTTGAGCTTGTAGAAAATTTATTCTTTGTCCTCATTCTAAATACATATGTAAAGATGAAAACTTATTTTATTATTAATTAGTTGTGTATCTTAAGATTATCTCTCAGTAAAACCATTTCTCTAAAAGAAAATCACATTTAATGGAATAGTTTTGTTGGAGAGAGATGAAAGAAGAAACTTTAATAGAAAACGATTTTTATTGCAAAGATGTCAAGTAAGTTCTATGAAAAAATCTCTGATATGGTTACTAATGTAAACGAGCCATTATTGAACTATAATACTAAAAGACTAACAGTGTTGTATATGTAAAGAATCTTTTAGTCCATTTATATCAAAATACATATTATTGGAAAAATGAATCAACATATTATATTGTTTTCTTGTTCAAGACATTTTTATGTACGAACTATTTCTGATATGAAAAAGATTTAACTTAATCATTGAATTCATACAAGTAGAGAAGTATTGATTGAGAACAAAATATTGTTTCATAATAAGATGGTCGATAAATTATATTTCTATACAGTTATATTTATATCTTCTTTATATGTTGTTTCTATTTAAAAGATTAGTTTTTGATATATCTTCTCTTTCTCACGCTTAAATTAGAAAAAAAATGTTGTCCTTTTATCTCATGAAGAAACTCTTTCAACTAATGCTTTCCGTTCGAGATCGCATTTTGCTGATGAATAGAATTGATTGTGCATTCAAAAAAACTGAAAAAAATATGCGTCATTAGGACTTTTCGCTCCAGTGTCAATCATCATTTTACTGCATTTCTCTCTTATGTTCCCAGAATATTGCGAGAGAACTTAGGTTAAAGAATTTTAGCTGAAGAGTTAACTTAGAGATAACTTATTTCTTGCATAAGATTCAAGAAAAACAAATTCAGTTTGTTTTAAAGTATTCGATTCTTTGAGGAAAAAACGACTCATTTTAGCTTAAACTTTTAAGATATTACAAGAACTATGGTATCAATTTCTGGGCAAAATTTCAAGTTAAAATTCTTTAATTTAGTTTTTCTCCTCGTTACCCTATAATAAACAAAAAATGCAGTAAAATAATTAAAATTCAAGCAACAAATCCTAACAACATATATCATTTGACAATTTTGTGTATACACAATCAAATCCTATTCATCAATAAAATAGGAACTCGAACGAAGGGTATCAATTGAAAGAGTTTCTTCGTCAGATAATTTTAAGATAAATAAAATACTTATTTTCTATAGTTCATTAAAAAATGTCAGTGCATTAATCATCACTGTTATATAAAATTGAGATATCAATGTATGTCACTATGAGCTATGAATACTTGTAATTAACCATTTAAGATGATCATCTCCTGACAATAGAATCTAATGTATCCAAAGAAATTTTCTAATACTAATGTTTCAATAAAAATAAATTGAATATTCATCTTAAATTTGTCATTTATGAGTAAGCATCCCTAGATGACCTTTTTTTGGTTTGCGTAGGAGATACTTGAGAATCTTGATCAAGAAAGTCATATGCTTTGGACAAATCTTGAGGCAAAACTTGAGACCTTTCGGTGAGCTCAAGTTCTTGAACTTCTTGTTCTAACGTTTGATATTCTTGCCTACGCGCTTGAAATTCGTGTCTGTTCCTAAGGAACTTTTTTTAGGTTTTGTTCAATTTTACGTGCAAAATAACTCAACTTTTAATAAAAATTCATAGTTGCATTTTCTGGAATTGAGCACATGAGTTTCGTGTAACTCATGCAAACACTCAAGCGCTTGTCTTGAGCAAGAAAGTCATGCGCTATGGACAAATCTTGAGGTCTGCACAGGACAAGAGCATGAAAAAAAAAGTTCGTCTAGGAATGAAGAACTATTTCTTTTATTAGAATGATAAAAATATGAACTTTACATAATATGATACTTCACAGAACATTTTAAAGTTAAGTGATACTTATAGATACGATACAGCAGAATAGTTTTTGTAGTAGAAATTTGAAAAAAGAATTCCGTTTGAAATTAATAATGAGAAAAAAGTTCTATTAAATAAAACACTGAATTTTCTTAAGTCATATTATGACAGTTCGAATAATATATTCAGTACTATCTTCGTTGATTATCCACTTATACCATTAATCAATTCATAATAATAAGATTGTATTATTATTATTAAATCCATCAAACACGTTTTACATTTGCTGCATTTCTTGTTTGTGTGATTGTATTTTCAAAAGGTGTAACACGATTTCTTGAATATATTATATTCCATACAACTTGACGAAGTTCTCGATCGAGTAAGATTGTACATATCTTTTCAACAGTTACAGCTAATGTAAATGTAACAATACCAGCTAAATAAAATATTTCCATTGTAAAAAGAAGAAAAAGCATTGTTGGAACACCACCTGTTATGTAAATAAACAGAAGAATAACGATATTACGAAGAACTTCAAGATCACGTTTCTCATTCACTGTATGAAGAATACTTTTAGCACGCTTCCTTTCATTTTTAATTCGTCTATAGATATAGATATAAATAATCATGATAGAAGCGATTGGTACAAAATAGTAGCCAAATACAGTATACGCCACATGAATTGTGTACTTCAATGGTACCCAACATAAAAGACCAGGACGGAAACGAATATCTTTTGTGATAACTGAACTTAATGGTATAATTAATACAGCAATCCAATGTATAAGAATAAGATAATAATGTGTTTTGAATGTTAATAACCAAGGATATTTTGTTGAAAATCTTGCGAAGAAAAGACGTGATGTTGCTTGAACAAGATAAGAATATGTAGCTGCTGAAATTGTCATGTAACCGAAATAGCCTCGCCATTGACATCCTATATCACCTGTTTCCCATGGTAAAAAGATAAGAAAACTATAATTAATAGTTTGTACAATACAATAAACAATCGATGCAATACATGTATTACACATTAGTAGATGTCTAACTGTGTGTAGACGAGGTTTTGAACGTCTTATTATAATTATAATTGCCATCGACATGATTATAGATATAAGACCAAAGCCTGCTGATAGAGAACAAATAATATAATAACTTTTAATATTGGATATTGCGGAATCTTCATTTGTTGAATTCATATTTTGAAGATAAACCAATTTGTTTGAATCTATGTTATAATTTTCTTTATTGATATAGGAAGAGAATGGTTGAAGAAAATGACATTGTTCATAAATTTATATGATGTCTCATACGATGATATATTTGCTTTAGATACTAAAAGACTTTAGTGTGACGGTTAATTACTTTTCCTGAAATAATAATGTTTAAACAATGGCATTCATTCGAATTTTAAAATCATCAATTTACTATTTGAAAGAAATCAACGATGGAAAAATTAGTTTCCATTATAGTATATAGGTTAATATCATGCGTATTTCCTATAGAAAAAATTTTTTAATTTTCATCAACTGCAACAAATAGACTTTGATTTTATACCATTCATTAACTAAACCAATGGCTAGTACTATACGAACCTTATTTGCGTGATATATTGTCTAATTGATACCTTGTTTTTAACATAATATACCTTTATAGATCTACGTCTATTAGACTCTGTGCAACATTCTAAGTATTTATACATGGAATTCATGCATAAAAATTAACATACACTAACAATAATTTTATGTATGAAAGGATAATTAAAAAATTCTTTAAAATAAACTACGTAGTTGTCTAATAAAAATAGACAAGGTTGAAAGAGTATATCTTTTAAAGTTAGAGAACTGTCGTAGGCGGTTTTCAATGTTCTCAGACACTGACGAGTTGTTATTTAGATATGAAACTATTAAGATGAAGATAGAAACTCGAATGAATTTCAAAGTGAGTATTTAGAATACAAAAAAAATGCATCTTCTCAACTACATTACTTATCTATAAAGAAAAGCAACAACTCAATACGATCATTTCAATCGTCGGCAATGGTTTATTACTGCATTAAAGCTCATCGTATTTCGTCATAATTTTTCGTTCTATTGTACAGGACATTTTTTTTCCTACTATTTTGTCTTGAACGTAGGGGACAGTGAATATATACAAATGTGTACTTATTCTTGATAACTTGATAAGCGGGATCGTGTTAATCATCATGTAACATGATGCAAGGACGTTTTTTAAAAGTGTACATTATCTGGTTGAACAGGTCTCAATAAAATCTATAGATTGATGTATGAGATAGCGCAAAAAGAGTTCTATAGAAGCTTTACATTAAAAAAAACAGCGGTAAATGAAAAAAAAAGAGTAAATTCTATTGCTATCTCAGCAAAGCACTCCAGAGGAGAATCCGAATTTGGTTCATTTAACAATGACAAATACGTTCATCAACATTTATGAATTCTAGGTCATCAAAGGTTGCCTTGGAAAATTTTCAAGAAACTTGTTTAATTTTTTTGTAAAAATGACGACCGGAACTATGGTCGTTTCTGCTGGAACATAAACAATGATCATCATAAAAAATCATTTTGAAGGCAGCCATTTTTTGCCGTTATCATCTTGTTTACGAGTCGTTCGATGCGACGTGGATAATGATACCGTTATTATTATTTTTCGAAAAAGAAAGATTTTGACCTTGAGAGGGTTTATCATTCGAAACTGTTCTTTTGTTTTTCATTCCTAACAATAATTATGAATAAAGAGAATTCTGTAACAAAACTCTCCAGTTCAAAGCTTATTGTACTCATAATTTTCAGATGACCTGTTAGCATGATAGTTCCGCAACATTACTTCTATGGTATACAACAGTTGTTAGATGTCTTCATAATATTTCAATTCAATTAATTTAATATCAAAATTTCTTTAATGTTTTCATGTCTATTTCTATATTACTATTCGGCATAAAACAACTCATTAAACTGAAACATGCAATACATCCATTGTGAGATAAAACTAAGTCTTATTGCATTACATTTTGTAATAGACTGCATCATAATTAAAAAGTGTATTTAAATTAGAAATCTACATTAAATGTACATAGTTATTATTGTTCGTATTTGTAAGATATGTTCAACGAAATTAGACAAAACCAAACTGTTTTATATCATTTATTTTCTGTTTTTCTTCTATGATCTTTTTATTCTATTAAAATTTATCATTTATAAACACAAAGAGAACAGATTTTTTTTTGTCATTAGGTGAACATTGAAAAAATATTGTTTGTGTTTGGCTTCAACTTCTAAATAAGAATTTTTTTTTTCACAAATTTGTCTTATAAACAATGGTTTTTGTATGTTCTCGTATCTAATTATTTCAAAATATGATTAGGGATATACAGAACATATCTTAAATTTTTAATTCTATCTATCGTCATGATCAAAACAAATAACGTATCTAATGTATTTGATTTATTATTCATATTAACAATTTTTAGCTACATAGTTATACTGATATTGTATTTTTTGAAATCAAAATTTTCTATTGAATATATCATACTACCGTTTTTAATCCCATCATCTAAAGAGATATTGGTTGTAGATGAAAATATTTTTAATTCCATAATGAATTGTACGATGAGTTGAGAAACACTTCATATTTTACAGCTATCTATTAGTTTTCATTGTCGACAATAAATATCACAGGAATAGAAGTTTTAAAGTCATAATTGAAGAAAAACTTCGTAATATTAATTCGTACAAGATCTATCTTATTTAAAGTTTTCTTCTATTATATATGTTCTTTCCAACATATGTACAATTATTATTGTTAGTGTACGTGCACATATATGGTAATTATTTCCTGACCTTTTGTATGATTCATGATAAGATACAAGGATAGAGTCACAAATGTTTTTATTTATAGTCAGCGATATAAGAGATGCAGCTATGGCATAAAGATGGGATGAGACGATGATACAATGAAGAATAAATCGAAAAAAAATTAGATAATAAAGAAATAAATCATATTAATGCAATTGCATTTAATTTTACAGATAGAAATTTTTTGACCTTTTTTTTTAATTAATACGGTCATCATCAGCTGTAAAGACAATACTTAGACTAAGATCAAAAGTGATGTCTTTAAAGCTGATGATGACCATACGAACTGACAAAGTTCGAAAATTTCTATTTGTAAAATTAAATTCAACTACATTCATGTGATTTATTTATTTACTATTATGTTGTTCTTATTCAGGTTCTTTCGCTTTCAAAAATATTAAATGTATCGTTTTATTTTGATTAGAAAGAGATATCAATGGATATTGAGAAAGAGTATCTTCAACATAGAAAAATATCTATATGTTTCTTTCTTTAAAATATCTATTAACACTAAGAAAAATATGATTATTAATATTGTTAAAATAATTATTGTTCATTACTTTGTAAAAATTTTTGAATTATTTTCCACATATAACGACTATAGATTTATTTAAAATTTGTTAAAGAAATTATTTAGGAAAAAAAAAGTTCGCATACAAATCTATTATGTCTTTTGACGTACATTTCATTATAATACCTAATTTGACTTATTTTTTTTTCAAAATGAGCTTAATCAAAATAGTAATATGCACTAATTTCATTGGTTTTTTCAGTCATTAGTGTTGAGTTAATATGCATTTTATTATTGATATTTAAATACTAGTTAAGTTATCTGATGTAATCGTTATTTTCTGTGAGAATTATTATACATGTATTTATTGTTCATGAGAAATTGACAAATCGTGTAATCCAATGAACAACTAATATTAAATAAAGATATTTGAGGATTGATTTAAATAAGACTTTTTCGAGAAATATCGTAATCAATTCTTCTTAACCACAATATATAGAACATTTATTAATTTTAATCAACTAAAACGTAAATACTAGTCTTTACTTAGTTATTTACGAAACTTCTCATAGAAATCAAATAAATTTAAATTCAACAGTATATAAATACAATGGCATTAATTTATCTTTTTTGAAAAAAGTAGAATCAAAAATGTGATAGCAATTCATCTTTGAATATTAGAATTATAATGAAAAAAAAAACACTATACTATAGTCATCATTTTAGAAGATAAAAGTTCTCATCATTGTCACTATCACGACAATAATTATTTAACTAATGCATGTTATAGAGAAAGTCTATTTCGATATTAGATATAATTGAATTCTAAACTCACAGTCTATTTGAAGATAAAATATTTAACGATTAAACCTAAGGCTAATTCTTGCCAACATTAATCTGAAATGAATGGAGACAATTAAGTTTTCGTTTCAAAATACATAAATTTGAATAGGGTTCAAAAGTATTATTAATAGACACATAGATAAAAAAATCATTTTAAACTGATCAATATAATCAAAACAAAAAAACTGTATTAAAAACGAATATTTTTTATTCTTATTATATAAAACTCCCTTGAGATATCTCATGTATGAATAATCATCATAAAAATTAAAGGTGTCATTATTCGAAAGTTCATAAGTGCTATTCATTGAATTATTATAATAGTAAAAAGAAACTTATTAGGTGTCAATAATCTGATAACTCAAATAGAATCTAATTGTTTTATATTATACTTTATTCTATAGTCCATCAATGATTATTAACATTTTTCAGAAGAAATAATTTTGAATGTATTTCAGTATAGGTAATAATAAAATTTTTCCCATTCGAATATTTAATTTATATTAAAGAAAATTTCAAAGAAAATTTATTTCCTTTAAATTATCAACACAAATAAACGAATTAGCATAAATTCTTCTGTTGAAAAACTATGTTAATTCGTTTTACGAACCTATTCTCCATTTAATATTGTCACTAATGATCAATAATTTATATATATATATATATATATAAATTAACAAATAAAATCTAGAATATTTCTCAATGTAAATGTTACTTCTTATAGAGATACATAGGCAGAACAAAAAGAATAATAGCATACACAGAGACTACACATTGGAAGAATACAAAATAGAATGAGGAAAAGAGAAAAAAAAGGTTTTATTGTTGTTGTTGTTTTTTTTTTGTTTTTGTTCATTTGTTATTTGTTGTTAATGAAAGTGCACAGCATGTTAACACAATACAAAGAGTACAGATAAATGAAAAGAAATCAAAGGAAAAAAAAAACAAACTAATAAAAAAAAAAAAAAGAAGAAAG